ATTGATACAACAATGTATAAAATTTTTTCGATTTCTTGAGTTATCTTTTATCTTTCATGACACATTCAAACGTTTCGTCAGTGTCGATTCTATCCTCCTCTTGAAGAATTATTTATTACTTGTGTCGATCATTCTGTGAATATTTTTTTATTTCTTGATATTTTTTCTTTCGTTCATTGTTCATTCTTTTCTTTTATTCATTGTATAAGCCCTTTGTAGAAGTCAAAATAACAGTAACTGTAACATTAAATAAAATTAAAATGGGCTCATATTTAGAACTTCCAATTCATTTTAATACTGTCATATTTGTAGATTTATTAACTAATTTAGGAACTGAAGTATTTTAGGATCTAAGTATTCCATAAAGAAAAAAATAAATAAAGAAAATATCACAGAAAGAAAATTAACACTATTATAGCTAAAGATGATCTCATTCAATGGACTTTTTATGAATACAAAAGCTTTTTAAATTAATAGACAAAAGTTGATACTGATCGTATTACATGATTGCATTTGGATATAGGACTAACTGTTGAAAGTATAATGTTAGCCATCATACGCAATATAATTTTCTAAGCCCATCATCTATTATGGATCTTTTTTTTACGTAGGTAATGTCATACTGATTGAGTTAAATATAATATTATATTTGGCTGTGTATCTACTGTTTAACTTTACAATATATGCGCATTAATTTTTTTTAAATATACCATATATTATATTTTAACAAAAAAATTTGTTACATGAAAAAGTATTAGGTAGTATTTTTGTAAGTTTTATTGAGTTCTTTTCTAATCTGAAAAAAAAAACTTTACAAAGTGATCTTAAAAGGTATAAAATTCCCGATAAATGTATTGTGTTACGCCTATTACAAATCTAAAAATTTGTTGACCAAATTTAGAACTGCGAGAAAATCCGACATAATACATGGAAAAAGATAACAGTACTCGTTTCCCGCCAATATTATCTCAACTCATCCAATCCCCTCTCTAATTCTTTTCCGCTTCGCCGGTATTAAATCCTCTGTCTTACTACTCGACGACATTTTGCAAGATTGTGATTTTACAATGTTTAACAGTTATTACGCTTTGCCTAACAAGCAGTTTTATTTAATTAGAAGTTCTATTTAAATTATACTTATCTGAATCTGCAGAATTTTCTGTATTACCATTTTAAATTAAAATATGTTTTCAGTTTTCTTTTATAAAAATATTTACTAAGGCGCTTTAATCAGAAAATAAAAAAGCACAAGCGATAGCAGATGGCATTTTTCTTTGTATATGTATAAACAACAATATTATAGGGTATTAATTTCTGTATTACCACAGAGTTTTAGTCAGATATAAATCTATATATAAAAAAAAATCGTTGCTAGGCGAATTATTTAGCTATTTCTAGTCTACGCGTCTGCTATACGGCCAGAAAATTCAAAGCCCGTATTTCCACAGTTTCATTTTCATTCGAAATCCAGACGGTGTTACGTAACAATTCCTCGCTCCCGCAACGTAATTCTTCCAGCTCGTGCAAGTTTCTCAGTTGCTCCTTTTACATTGCTACTTTTATACCGAACGCTACTACAGCAAAGAGGGAAAGGAACTAAATACAGTATCGGCTCTGAACTCTCGTTTCATTCAGTAGACGTCGTTCGCCGAGAAAAAGTATATCAGGGATTTAATGTATCCTCTGAATTTTATGATATATTTCATCGTTTGTTATTCAGTTCGGAGCGTGTTACAGACGGTGTTACCTCGATCTGAATGTATTCTACTCTCGATGAGCGCTGCTAAAGAAATCTCGCTGTTGGATCGATTTATCTATCAATTAGTCTAGTAAAATATTGTACGAAATACACTCAATTAATACTTTTTTGTAATAAAAACAAAAAAAAAATACTCAAAAATATTTCAATAAAAACATAATAATTTCCGAATAGTCTAAGATGAAAGATACCGCCTAAGATATACGTAGAAAATAATAAAAAAGATACAGTTTATTTGAAGACGGGAAGCCTTTCAATAATTTACATTCCCTCAGATAATAAGACAAACATTTATATCTAAACTATAATAAGATCTCTAAAACCGTAAATTGTAAACTTTTTTCTCGTCCCTCTGGAAAATTATAAGTAAGTATGGGCATTCAAAAAATGAGCACAAATTGCGTGGCATAAACAACCAAATGGGTGGCATTCCGTAGAATATTAACAGCACCCACAGGACTCGTCAAAGGGAAGCAATCAGTAGCAAATTGTTTAATTACAGCACGTCCTCCGTGGGTACAGTGCTAATATCGATCACGCCACACTGTAGTACACCTAGAATACACAGGAAACATTGTACCTGTTTGACATATTAGAATTGTTTGATAAATAATATTATATCAAACTACCAGAGAGGAGTTATGTTTTTAAATGTACGACTGGACTTTTGGCGCAATGAGTAATAGTTATATTGGAGAGTTTTATGAAATTTTAGTTCATTCACCTTTGTCTTTTCAACGATATCGCAGTTTACTTTTTAATTACGTTGGTGTACTTTTTGCCCCAACATATTTGACACTAGTATGAGAAAATAGTCTGTTTCCTATAATTATTATTTACATTATTAAAATCTGAAGATTTCTTTTTATTTTCTTACTGGGAATTCTAAAAGTTATTCCTTTAATACACGATAGATGGCGCCTCCCCTCGTATCAACCAAAATGTATGTAACAAACAGAGTTGTGTATGTGACACTTATTTCGACATGTATTTTAATGGAAACGTATGTTGTGACACGTGCACAACAAATTTTTTTGATTGTCTGTTATATTAGTAAGTGACATTCACGTAGATTGAAACGTTTGGTAACCGTTATTCTCTATCGTATCCCCTTTCTTCCAGTATGCCAAAAGAGGTGATTAAAGGAATATACTACACTAGTACTCAAGTAGGAATTAAAAAAAAAACTATTGTGTACCTACTAAAATCAACATTTTGAAAGAATAAGCTTTAAAAATGGTGGCTTTATGCGTAAAACTTTTTACAGAAAACAATTAGATACCAAACAATACGATAAAATATAATACTAAGATTTGGCCGTCTTTAGTTTTTTTTTACATTAACGTTATAAAAATTCTTACCTCAATTACTACTTTTACATTATGAAGTCATCCATAAAAAGGAGCATGTTCCAAATTTAATTTTAAACTAGATATATAAACCTGTTAAGCAATACGTGTGTCTTGTCTTTTTCTCTTCTGTTACTTTCTTTTATTTATCCTTTTTGAAACGCTAGAATCATAGTCATTTTGCTTCGTCTTTTTTAATTTAAACAACATGATAGAACTTACATAAGAACTGTTTGTAAGTTTTATGGAGTTTTTATAAAGTTGTAAATCTATTTCCAATCGACTTCAAAAAGGAGGTTTTTAATTCAGTTGTATTTTTGTTTGTTTATTGCGTCATAACTTCATCAGTTTTAAACTGAATTGAGAAATTCTTTATTTATCAAAATCGTTATACTTACAGATTGATCCCATAAACATTTTACCAAAATTGGTTCAGTAGTTTTGGTATTAAGTTAAAATAACTAGTTTTATCACAAATGAAGTCTATTTTTTGTGGAGCATCACTACGTACTAATATCAAATCATTCACCATGCACCCTCCAAGGTTATATTAGTTAAAACAAATATATCAGCATGATTTTAAAAATGTATTCTACAAATGGAACGAAATATTTTTTCTGAACGAAACATGGATCGAAAACGACATAAAAATAGGGAGGCTTTAAATTTTTTATCGATTTTCGACTCTTAATGTTTCTCACTGAAAAAATGTTTTATTTCTCCGGTAGAACACATCTTTAAAAAGGTTCTGATTATTTAGATATCATTCTGTATTCGATTATTTTAATGTATCATTGTTATGTTATTCATAAAATTTGTTGTGTTGTTAATGTTATTAGTATATTTAGAAACCTTCCCTAGTATACTTTTGTATGCCAACTCAGTTGGAATGTTTTTAGTAACTTTCTATGTAATAAAGAGAAATTTACCATAGTTATCTATTTGTGAGCTACAAATATCATATCTAATAACAATCCCTTTCATTCTGAATTCATAAACTGACATCTCGTAAAGCTTTCACACAAAGTGTCTTATGAAACGGACGTTCGTTAAATTAAGGCGATTTTCCAAAAACTTTTAATGGAGTAAATGCTAATACGTCTGTTATACGTCAAGTGATATACCACGCGACTTTATAACAATTTCTATTATATGTATAATATCACATATGCAAATGCTGCAATGCGAATTGTCAATGCTCAGTTTCCAATTATAAGCAGTAACTTTTAGGTAGTTGATTATGTTATATATCTAATCGGTCTATTTACTATTAGACAAATATTATTTCATGCAAATTATAAACTGTATTTATATAATACAGATTCGACCAAGCATCGCACGGGCTCAAAAATAATATTAGCCTATGTTACTTATCGAAAATATAACTTTATAGGTGAAAATCTTTTAAAATCAGTTGAGTAATTCTGAGTTTGTACTAGTTTGTGCTGAGTTTGTAATAGTATAGATATGTAAGAAATAAAAATTAGTAACAAAATTTGAGAGACTAGGTAAAATAGAAGTGACATTAATGAAAAAGTATAACTTCAACAAAAATAGTCTTACAATCGTAAAAAAATAATACGAGACCGTCACGGAAATCAATCACGTAGATTACAAAAAGTATAATTGAAATCGTTTTAACGAAAATTTAGATTTACTTTCAAAAACTACATGTGTGTATTCAAAACTTCTCCCTTTTTAAAGTCGCATAATAATTAGTTTTATATTTCGATTATGCTCCTTGGGAAAAGTTACTCACTTATCTTACATATTCTTACGGTTAAAAAGGTATCTAATGTTTCAGAGCGGTATTTTTGTATTATCTCTGTATATGATCAATATAATTTTTAGGCAATTATTAGAAAACCCTAACGCACAGCATATGTCCACAGATTTCTGTTTCCAACCATTCTTCAACTTCGTGGATATGCGAGCTCTGTTGGAGAACTTTTGCGTGTATCATGTGAATGCACCGGGACAAGAGGAGGGCGCCCCGAGTCTACCGGAAGAGTGAGTACTGCACAATTTCAAATTTCGCTTCAATTATCTTTAGAATGTTCATTTCATAATTGTTTCTTGTTTGCAACTAAAATTTTTTGAAGGGGCAACCGACTTATGTAACTCTCTCCTTCTTATTATGTAACCATCTCTTTATTTCCAAAAGCGACATCACACTTTTATTCATATCTCTTTTTTAGAGAAACAGCTTTTAATTTTTACGTTCAAATATCGTATCCTATGTGTACAAAAATCAGTCAACTCAAAAACGTTGTTCGTTGTAATACAGAGGTTATTTAAACGAAAAGCCACTACACAACTGAAAAATTGAAAAATAAAAATAGGTAATTTATAAGTTAGGTAATTTATTAATGTAGGTAAAAGTTATGAGAATCGCTGCTTCGGATTACTTTTAGATAGATGGCGTTATAGATGACACGAAATTCACTGGGTCATCTAGTCGTAGATAAAAGACAAATAAAATTATATAATCGTTATCGCTACGTACTGAGTCCAAAAGATAGAGTGAAATGCCAACATCCGGTGTTATTTCTTTCACATATATACGAGTACGGTAACCAAAACATATTTATCGATAGAATCGGTCGACAAATTTGTCTATGGAGACAAGTTAATTTTTATGAAATTATCATGTATAAAGTCGCCTAACTTTATTCTCTCTATATTTTATGTTTTAAAGGGGAATCTCTCTGTACGTTAGTAACTTAGACATTACTCACAAAGTCCTTTTCCGATTTGAAGCTTTAGCAATCTTTTAGCTTTTAGTAAAATCGTCTCTATGAACATTATGACGAACAATGTCGTCGATAGAAAATTTGTGATATTTATTTTACAGCTAAAACGTTTTTCTTCTGAAGTAGCTCAGAGAATACAGATAATGTAATAATTACCGCTGTGTTGTACTATAGAGGACTAAGTAAAGATTTTGGTATAAATGCGACCATTTATGTGCCTATCATGTCCGATCGCTTGCAATAATTACCAATAAATTGTTCCCATTCTATGCAGGGATCACACGACAATCATTTATTCATCCCAATTATTTAGGATTAGTACGAATAAATATCTAAATTTTAAAGTACCTAATTAACACAAAAAAAAAGGTACTATAGTATGACTTTTTTTTAATTAACGGTAATGGAGCGGTAGCCCGGCCTAACGAGACTGGTCTAACACCAATGAGGAGGCGAGACACCAGTGAGAGATGATGGACGAGAATGGACAGGTCATCAATTAGTCCATCATAATTAATACACCTGGAATTCAACATGATGGTTTCCGAGGGGGGGGGGGGACTACGTGGAGGTCGACCTGACAGGCTATTTTACTAGTAATCCGCATTACTAACAATTCCTTCCCCTCACTGTAGTATAGTTAGGTCGTCCCCGTGCTATAAGGTATTATATGAGGTTGTATGTTTTTAAAAGTACATCTATTGCGTCATAAATTGATCTACGCTATATTTCTTGAAATATACTGTACTGAGTTAGGATTAAAATTAGTATCGTTAGTTTATGCATCGATCGATATTCGATTGACGTAAGGGACGTTGCGTACTGAAATAAATGAACAGATAGATACAGCATATTATTACATATAAATGAATAAAAAGGTCTAGAATACATAAAAGGGGCATTGCCCCGATGATTACCTATCTATGCGTTTTCAATATTGCGTAATAAGACCGATAGGGAGCGATAAGGTATGCCGATATTTGCCGCGCCCTTCGTAAGCTATGTATAAAAGACTATTACTTATTAATTCAATAGGTTTGTATATTTAAAATCATGTCACGTTGAAGTACAATAAACAAGTGTAATGTAAACAGAGATAAATCCTAAAGGTCGTTTCGCAAATGACGCGGTGTATACAATATAGTTCTAATCTAAGTGTAGCACATAAAAATTAAGGTATTTAGATACGTTCTTTGTAGAAATAATTTTCTGATAATCGATAGACAACTAATCTATCGGTTTCACAAACAGTATCTATCGGTTTTGGGAAAGTAAGTAGTGTTACTAAAAAGTGCACGTAACAAAATAATAAAAAGTCGACTGTTAAAAGAAATGTTTTAAAATTATATTGAGCGTGATCTCAGTAGCATAGCACGAGGGGCTGCTAATAAGTTCGCGATCTAAGATAGGTACCTAACGATGACTCATCATCTCACTACTGATAATACTAATTGCGTGACTCCTTGTAAATATAAATAATACCCCATTTTTGTATTTATTTCATTAACACTTAATCCCTGGAACAATTAACAACACAATGTCAGAAAAAATTGGAAATTCTCGCGATTTGTAGCACCGCACTGTAATTAAATTCCTTGTTAAAAAAGAAAATACACCAAAACAAATTTTTGAAGAAATATCATCGGTTTTTCAGGATTATGTACCTTCATATGCGATAGTAAAAAATGGGCTTGACTATATTAAACAAGGAAGAGATACGTGTGTTGGGGACTCTCGCCCGGGACGCCCAGTAACGTAGTGACCTAAAATAAACGTTAAAAACTCGAACAATTAGTACTTACCGATCGAAGAATTAAACTGTGGCAAATAGTAGAAGAACTACAAATTAGTAAGGAACGAATTGGAGAGATTTTACATAGACATTTACAAATGAAAAAAGTTTGTGCGTGTTGGGTACCGCGAATGCTCACATCGCTCGACAAACAGCTCGTCTAGTTCTAACTCACAGTGACTTTTTCTTTTTTCAAATTTAAAAAAGGAGTTACAAGGACGAAATATACGGATTTAGATGAAGGCGGCTGTAGTAAAGCATTTCGAGGAGAAAACCGAAGAATATTTTTTCAAAGGCATAAAGAGTTTGTAATCACGATGTGAAAAATGTATTTCTCTTGAAGGGAATTATATTGAAAAATAAAACTATACATTCATTAAGCACCTGAGACTGCGAACTTATCATACACTCCTCGTATATGTGTACATTATAATATATATTTCAAAGAAGATTTTTATTTTATATTTTAATTCTATTATACATAAATGTGAGATGAATACAAAATTTCACCCGCTACTAAATTTTAATTATATCATCCATCGAAAGGTATATTGTTCAATAAAATTAGACTCATCAAAGTCTGAATATCCTATAAAAAGTTCTCGTGGTCATGCATAAAATATATACACGCTGAATTGATAACCTGCCCTTTCATTTTACAGTCGACTTCGAAAAACGTAGGTACAAATATTTTTTATGTGATCGTATGTTACACGATATCTCGCTATGTTATTTGGCACTGCTTTTGTTGAATATCTTTATTATATTGATAAATACATTTGGAACAAAGTTCTTCCATCCAAAATAAACAAAATGAACTAACCAAATTCTAAATACAGTTATGTGTCTAATCTAGTATGCAATAGTAATACATTCATAGTGATCATTACGTTTAAACATTGCCGTACTAAATGCCTAATATCAATGGTGAATACATTTGTCTTTACAATAGGTTCCAATGTAGATAATTAAAGTATGTTTCGCAACTTCAATTCTTATTCTAGTAACTAGCAACCAGACCCAGCTTCGCAGGAGTAGACAGAATTTTCAATAATCAGTACACATCATAAAAAAGTTTCAGCCAATTCATTTGATTGGTTAAAGCATTTTATATGTAATTCTTTATATTGATCTAACTTATTTATTAATTAACTGATTTAAATAAACGCTAAATGTTAAGTGGAACAAACCGCAACAGATTAATAAAGCCATTTCTGAGATAAGCATGTACAAATGTACAGACAAACAGACATACAGAGAAATAGGCAAAAATTCTAAAAGTCACTGGTTTGGGTTCTATTGCATTCATGAAGTCCTCCTATAATAGTTTTTCTTATATATCTTCCATGGGCAGACAGCGACCAGTTACGATTTGATTATATGTATTCAGACTTGAATTTTAGGATTAATCTTTGAAATTACAATGTACTAGCTGTTTCTCGCGGCATTGCCCGCATGAATCACTATATAAAGTATTCTAAATATTAAGTTAGTATATATGCCAAATTAAAATACGTTCAGTTGTTTAAGCGTCTCTGAGTAACAAACATACAAATTTCTTATCCGTCTTTAGAAACTTTAACAATATTAGTGGATATACGCAATATGACCATTCTAAATAACATAATCAAGTATATGTAGTTCATTTTTAAACACTGTTAGGTATATGAGCATTTGTATTCATGATTTACCATAGCAGTATTGTGTTTTACATTTTACCTTCATGCTTTTTATGTTTTACGAAATTCATCCAGAAATATTGAGTAAAGAATAGAAAATAACTCCATTTTTCTGATAAGTAGTAAAACACAGTTGTGTGAATGTGTTTCATTGCTTTCCCGTAAAACGTCGAAAGGAACGACCGAGTGATGTAAACGTTTTTATTGGAGGCGAAGTGTCGTATAAGCTCGTTCCTCGGATGGTTGTGGAAGGTTATCTTTTTTATAGTCTCTGCATATTGAGTGTTTCAGTGTTTAGAAAGCTTGCCAATATCGATGCTAGTGTTAAACTATTCTCAATTACTTTTTGCTAATTACTAGATTGAATATGTGTGGGATGGGCGAGCAAGAGTTCCACTTCTTAGTCGAATGTATAATGAAGAAAGATTCAAAGCGCTTTTTTATGCAACTTACATTATTACAGCTTTGTAGACACAATGAAAATATTTGAATTTAGAACGCGGAATCGTTGAGGTTAAAAGATAACTTCTTGGTCGGCCGAGCATAACAGCTTAAAACGTCGTAATTTTTTTATTTATTTATTTATTTATTTATTCTTTAGTACAGGTAATGTGTACAAGGTCTATTTGATATGGAGCCAACATAGGAGTAAACCCAATCGATTACAAAAAGATTTGTCAAAATCTGATCAGAATCGGCGACGTGAGAGGGTAAAGTGGCCACAAAAATTCGGAAGGATTGGAAATCGTCTTTTTGAAGTCGCTTAAAACGTTTTCGTTTGCATGG